TATTTTAAAATGCTGGTGGCTCTTCTGAATGATGAAAAAATAAAATGAATAAATATTATACATATAAACACTCTCTAGAGTTACTAGAAAGTAATGTTTTATTTAAAACTGTGACTAATGTTTTGGATATATCAGGGCATTCTGCTTTTAAATATAAGTGGTTATATTAATATGTACTTAAAATTTATTTTCCCCCTTCATTCTTGCCTTCTTTTGTTTTTTTTTTTTTTTTCTCATTTTGGTTATTTTTAACTCTATTTTTTAAGAATACATATTCATCATACAGATTGATCACTTCGATATCTTAATTCTTTTTTCCCCATTCCCCTCCCCTCCCTTTAACCCTTCTTTCCCTCCCATTTACAAAAGCTTTGTTTGCACTTTTCCTTCTCTTCTCTTCTTTTCTTTCCCCTTCCTTCCCTTCTCCCTCTTCCTTCCCTGTTCCACTTCCCATTTGAACATGTTCTCATTTCCCAATGTCTGTCCTCCATTATGCTCCTTAGTTATTCTTTGGGTTTTGCACAAAAGGGAAACAATGCGGTATGTAAACTTGTATGTCCAGTTTATTTCAGTTGAGATTATGGTCTTAAGGTGCACTCGTTTTCCTAAAAATGACTCAAGTATGTACTTCTTTATGGCTGCATAGTATTCCATTGTAGAAAAAAAACCACATCTTTTTCTTTTTTTATCTATTCATTGGTTGATGAGCATTTGAGTTGTTTCTAAGATTTAGCTATTAAAAACTATGCCACTATAAACATGGGTGTACATATATCACTGCGGTATGATGCTTTTAATTCTTTTGGGAAGATATCATGAAGGGGAATAGCTGTGTCAAATGGGACCTCTAGTCCTAGTTTTTTGAGAAATCTCCACACTGATTTCCACAGTGGTTGCACTAGTCTACACTCCCACCAACAGTGGAGGAGGGTTCCTTTTTCCTCACAGCCCCACCAGCATTTGTTATTGCTTTATTTCTTTATGATAGCCATTCTTTCTGGAGGGAGATGGAATCTAAGTGTTGTTTTAATTTGTATTTCTCAAATGACCAGTGATGTTGAGCATTTTTTCATATATTTATTTGCTGTTTGTATTTTCTTCATCTGACAAATGTCTGTTCATTTTAGATGCTCATTTTTGGATTGGGTCTTTAAATTTGGGGGGGTTGATTTTTTGAGTTCTTTGTATAGTCTAGATGTTAGAACTTTGAGGTAAAATTTTTTCCCACTTGGTGGCTTGTTGCTTCATTCTGTTGGTGGTTTCTCTTGCTGTGCAAAAACTTTTTAATATGATGTGATCCCAGTTGTTGATTCTTTGTAATATTTCCTGTGCAGTCAGGGTTTTGTTCATAAAATCTTTGCCTATACCTGTATCTTCAAGAGTTTTATCTATTTTCTTTTCCAGCAGATTAAATGCTTCTGTTTTTATATTTACATCTTTGATCCATTTCAATTTTAGTTTAGTGCATGTTGAGAGGCATGGGTCTAGTCTTAATCTTCAGCATGTGGAAAGCCAGTTTCCCAGCACCGTTTATTAAAGAGGCTGTCTTTGTTCCAGGGAAAGTGTTTGGCTCCTTTGTCAAAGATAAGGTGGCTGAGTGTGTTTGGAGTTGTTTCTCCATCTGCTATTCTGTTCCATTGATCCTCAGGTCTCTTTTTTTGCAGTACCACAGTTTTTATCATGGTAGCTTTGTAATCTAACTTCAAGTCAGAAATTGTGATGCCCCTTGCTTTGCCCTTGTTGCCCAGAATTGCTTTTGCTCTTCTAGGTCTCTTCTGGTTCCAAATGCATTTTAGGATTGATTTTTCTAGTTCTGTGAGGTATGCCATTGGTATTTTGAACAGGATTTCATTAAGTCTGTATAACAATTTTGGAAGTATGACCATTTTTACTACATTGGTTCTGCCTAACCAAGAACAGGGGATATCTTTCCATTTTCTGATATCCTCGTTGATCTCCTATTTTAGAGTACTGTAGTTTTCAGTGTATAGGTCTTTAATTTCCTGTGTTAGATTGATTCCTAAGTATTTCATTTTTCTTGGTGCGATTATGAAAGGTGTTGTTTCCCTGATTTCTCTCTCAATGAGTTTATTATTTGCGTATAGGAAGGCTATTGATTTTTGAGTGTTACCTTTGTATCTACTATGCTGCTGAATTTGGTTATTAATTCTAGGATTCTTTTGGTGGAGTTTTGGGGGTCTTCTATGGAGAGTATCATATCATTTGAGAATAATGATTATTTAGCTTCTTCTTTTCCTATCTTTATTCCTTTTCTTTCTCTTCTCTAATTGCTCTGGCTGATATTTCCAGAACTGTATTGAACAGGAGTGGTGATAGTGGGCATCATTGTCTGTTCCTGATTTAGAGTGAAAACTTTTAGTTTTTATCCATTTAGTATGACGTTAGCTATTTGTTTGTCATAGATGGCTCTTGTCTGATTGAGATAAAGACCTTCTATTCCAATTTTCTGTAGGGCTTTTATCAAATGACAATTTTGAATTTTGTCAAATGCTTTTGCTGCATCTGTTGAGATGATCATGTGATTTTTGTCCTTGGCTCTGTTAATATGGTGTATTATGTTTATTGGTTTCAACTGTATGTTGAACCGTCCCCTGCATCCCTGAGATGAGTCCTACTTGGTCATGATATATAATCTTCTTGATGATATGGTGAATTCTGTTTGCCAGTATCTTGAGGATTTTTGCATCTGTGTTTATTGAGGAGATTGGCCTTTAGTTCTCTTCTGTGGTTGAATCCTTATTTGGTTTTGGTATCAGGGTAATGCTTGCTTCTAGGAATGATTTTGGGAGTATTCCTTCTCTTTCAATTTCATTAAAGAGTTTGGGAAGTATTGGTGTTAAGTCTTCTCTAAATTTCTTGTAAAATTCAGCAGTGAACCCATCAAGACTTGAGTTTTTCTGTGTTGGTAGTTTTTTTTTTATTATTACTTCTTCAATTTCATTGACTGATATCAGGTTATTTAGAATATTTATATCTTCTTGATTCAGCTTTGGTAATTCATATGTATGGAGGAATTTGTCCATTACTTCTGAATTTTCCATTTTATTAGAGTACAGGTTCTCAAAGTAGTATTGATGATCTACTGGATTTCTTCAAGATCTGTTGTGATTTTGCCCTTTTTCATTCCTAATTGCATGGATTTGGGTCTTATCTCTCCTTTTCTTGATAAAGTTGGCTAAGAGTTTGCTATTTTATTTAATCTTTCAAAGAACCAGCTCTTGAACTCATTGATTCCCTGTGTTGTTTTCTTTGTCTCAATTGCGTTAATTTCTGCTTTGGTCTTGGTAATCTCCTCCCTCATGTATGCTTTGGGTTTTACTTGCTCTTCTTCTTCTGGAATGAGGTTCAGCATTAGATTAGCTTACTTGCTCTTCTTCTTCTTCATGAGGTTCAGCATTAGATTAGCTGTTTGAGCTTGCTGTGCTTCTCTGTTGTGGGGATTCACTGCTATAAATTTGCCTTGTAGAACTCCTTTCATCGCATCCCATAAGTCTGATATGTCATATTGTCTTGCCATCTTTTGAATTAAATGGATTTTTTATTTGAATTTATGTAGTCTAGAAAAATCCATTGTTTTAAATTATCATCCTCACAGCCTAACACATAAATTTTATTTAGCCAAATCTAAATCAATAGCTTTGCCCTTTTCCCGAGTAATACAAAGGCTTAATCATGGTTTCATCCTGATTTCCCTTCCTGGCTTCCTTGCTATTATTCTCCAGGGTTTTCATTCTTTGCTTATTTTTAAGCCACCAGATTGGGTGTGTTAACATTTGCTTATTTGGCAATTATTAAGTTGCAAGTCACAACTCAGAGTTTTTGAAATGTTACTGGTCCTTAAAATTCCAAAGCATTGCTCTAAACAGCTAGTTGTGGGCTTGGGATGTGGACGTTGGGTGACCTGAAAGCATGTCTTCTTGTTATGGAAAGCGCCTTGCTGGCTCTTCAGACTGTATATAATTTTGTGGTGTAAGCAGTGCTCTGCTACCCTAGCTGAACAGCACTAGATTATCAAGAAGTCAGGGCTGGGGATTTAGCTCAGCGGCAAAAGCGCCTGCCTGGCAAGCGCAAGGTCGTGAGTTCAGTTCCCGGTACCAGAGAAAAACCAAAAACCAAAAAAAAAAAAAAAAGAAAGAAGTCTATAGTGCTCTCCTGGTGAGACACATTGTGTTGAACAATTTCCCCAAGACGGAGTCTGTAGTAGCCAAATGATCTTCATACTTCATGCGCTCCCTGTGTACATCTGGTGGCACTTGTGTGCCCTGTTTTTAAAGGACCCCGCTTTGAGAGCCACACAAGCCAATATTCTGCCAGGGATTTACCAGGAAGGGATGGAACCAAGTGATCTCCAGGTTTGTCTTTGACACTAATACAGGTTGTGACTGTAGCTGTATGAACATTTTTAAAAAAGTGTTCAGGAGATTATTTCACCGGTATTTGTGTTAAATCTGGGATCCGTTTGAATGTGGGAGACGTTAAAGTTTCTGACTTAGCTCATCTTGGAGATGCACGCTGCGTCAGTAATAGGAGCACTGCCCTTCTGGTAGATGCCCTTTCTTTGTTTTCTGGTATGAAGCCGCCAGAAGAACGGCTGTGTTTAAATATAGCTGCAGTGTTATTGCAAGGGTCCTAGGACATTTTCATGTATTTATGTTTATGTTGGCATAGGCTTGATGTTGACGTTTTTATCTAAAAATGTTCAAACGCGATTACTTTTTTTGGGGGGTACTGGGAATTGAACTCAGGACCTTGCGCTTGCCAGGCAGGCACTTGTGCTGCTGAGCTATATCCCTGGCCCAAACATGATTACTTGAAAATACAGCAAGCATGGATTTCAGAAACCTCTGAATTCATGATAAAATTGTTAACTGGCACCATCAGGTTTGTTATTTTCAACCAATACAAGGAAAGGAAGTATTAAAATAACTCTTGCCCATTTGAGAGAGGAAATTAACATTTCCTAAAAAATTCTTTTCTAGTGAAGGAAGCCCGTCCCCCAGAGTGGAGCTCCTGCATAACATTGACCCGTACTTTGTGGACCCCTCGCCATGTGAGTACCCAGGTTGCTGCCACTTTGTGAAACTCCTGGTCGCAGTGTGGCGTTCCTGCCTACTGTCCCTCCAGTCTGGCTTTCTTGCTGCTGCTTTTCAGTAAAGGTAAAGCGTTCTTCAGGACATGCATCCCACTACTCTCGTTAAGGCTGTGAAGGGAACACCAGGTGACAAATCATGAAAGCCGGATTCTCTGCTGGGTTCTGCCATTTACAAGCTGTGTGACCAAGCCATTTCTTGCCCATCCCTTCTCACCTCAGATGTCATGTTGTTGCCTGCGTGTGTGTGTGAGATACTGGGGGTTGAACCTAGGGCTTTTATGCTATCTTCTTACCTGGGTATTTCAGAACCTTCCTGCAGAAAACTTAGCATCAAATAAGCCCTTTTAGTTCCCGGGGTAGCATGAGCCCCCGCATCGTCTGTTGGCTGGCTGAGTGCTGCCCAGCTGAAGGGTCTCTCAGGTGTGATTTTCCTGGCCATCTTGGAAGCCATTCAGCTTGACCCTGCTTGATGCCTGCTCTACCCTGCAAGGAGGCCTGTTAATTCCTTCAGAGCAAAGGGATATTTGGTGTTTTCAGAGGGTGACAGGCCAGAATGGCCCTATATCAGTACCATGCCGGAGGCCCTTTGCCCAGATCTCGTGGCGATGCTTGTCCTGAGACTGACTGTCTTCAGAAACCAGTGCCCCTGCATTCCCTGTGTCACATGGTTCCCACATCCCTCCCTCCTAGGTATGCTGCCGCCTCTCAGCTCAGCTCCCTTCGCCTCTCTTTCCTCTCAGTCTGCGCTACAAGTCAGCATAGCATCGTCCCCTGCTACAGGACCCTGCGCAGAGTTATCCTCCAGAAATTCTCCAGTGTCACTGGGCATTCAGGGCCCCGTGGTCGTAGCCAGCTCCCTCCACGCCTGCCGTGCCATCTTCCCACCCAGCTAGACACTGCTGTACTTGCCGTTTCCAAGTGTGTAGATCATCATACTGGTATCTTTTTAAAGTTTTCATTAGTACTATACATGTCTGTAGTGTATGGTCGGATGCAGCATGGGGAGCTGGCATATGTGCATAACACATCCTGATTCTTTGGACTTTCCTTTCCTCTTCCCTTCTTCCTCCCTCCACCCTCACTCCATCCCTTGATCCTCTTCCTTTTTGCAAGAGATCTGTCTCCCTGTGTCTCCAACATGCTTTGCCCAGGCTTACAGTACCTGTTCCCTGCCTCACCACAGTTTCTCTCAAAACCCAGCCCAGGGTCCCTATCTCAACGGTTTCTAGAAGCCCCACAAGAAGCAGCTGTCCCTTGCTCTTTGCTTCCCTTTGTCTGTGTCTCTGAAGCATATCCAGCACATTTTTGTGTTTGTATCTGCATTTCCCCACTAAGTTGAGAGCTTCTGCAAGCCAGGGTCCACAACTTCTGTATCTTTTTTAATCCTCATCAGTTCATACAAACACTCAGCACTTGGTACATTCAGTAGTGACAGTGGTGAGGATGGAGTGGATAACTGGAGAAGAGCTGGGATGCAATAAAGATCAAAGTGGACATATTAAACCTGGAAAGAAAATGGCCCTGAGTTGGGAAGGGACTTCCTGTTTCTGTCAGAGTGAACTTACAATGATGGGAGATGCAAGAGCGGGCTGGATTTGTATCGTCCACTGTGGCAGCCACTAGCCGCAGGTGCCTACTGAGCACTTCAAGTGCGGCTTACTATGGATTGAGATGTGCTCTAGGCCCGAAACACACGCCCACCCGGGTGTGACATTGTACTCCTGTAACCCCAGTGATTTGAGAGGCCAAGCAGGTAAGTTCAAGCCCAACCTGGGCAAATTAGCAAGACCCTGTCTCAAAATTAGAATTTTAAAAGGTGGGGTCTGGGCATGTGATTCAGTGGTAAAGCCACCGGTCCAATCCCTAGTACCACAAAAAACCCTACCAACATCTGATTTTTAAGATGGTTTTCATATATGATATGTATCATAGTATACTTTGGTATCAGAATATACTTTATATATGCTGAATATAGTTTAGGTGTGTTATGGTTGATACATTGTGTCAACTTGGAGAATCTAGAGGTTTGGCTAAGTAACTTAGCAGGAAGCCAGGGTGCTTACTTTGTATACATCCTGAGCCTGTGGAAGAGGAGGTCATGGAGATTATGTGAGAGCTACACGCCCCTTAGGTGGGGGTAGCCTGTTTACGATGTAAGGCAAGAAAGAAGCTGCTTGCTGCCATTCCTTCGGTTTGCTCTGGCTGCTTTGCCCTTCGGCTGCCAGTCCCCCCTTTGCTCTTGTTGGTTTGCTACTTTCTGCCTCGGAGCCAGCCAAGTATGGACTGAAACCTCCACAAACTGTAAGCTAAATAAACCTTTCCTTCCTTCATTTTGGACGTTGAGTATTTTGTCTCAGGAACGAGAGAAAAGTAACCAAGACAAGGTGTAACTTGTTGACATGACAATTTTAAGTTAAATATATTATTAATGCTTTACTGTTTCCTTTTTATGTAGCTAGTGAAACTTTACAAATACATGTGTGACTTGGCATTATATCTCTATTGCTCTAGGTGGAAAGGAATTGTGTAAGAGGATCACAGACTTCTTATTAGTTACTATGAGGCTACATTAGTGATCCTAAACTTCCCGTCTTTGCACGTCTACGAGATGTGACAGATTCCAGACATCTCTAAATTAAGGACAGCTGGAAGACCTTAATGGTGAGGTGGGAATAGTTGTTACAACTTCCGAGTAACTGAAAGCACTGCAGACCCAGTATAACGCAGGCCCTCAGGGTGTACAGACTGTGCTGCCCACATTGTCATGATCAGCTGTCCTCACGTGTCGTCACCTGCTAAGGTGCACCTGCAGGTGGAAGCCTCATGTCCCCTCCCTCCCTCAGCTGCACTTTGGCTTGCCGTTAGAGTGGAGTGTGGGAGCCCTGTCCCTTTTGGCTGCAGTGCCCGGCTCACAGCAGGTCTCAGTGTAACCCTCTATCATCACTGCTGTCTTCCCTAGCATACTCCCAGCAATAATAGCAAAGGCGAAAGGTTCTTGAAGAATAAACAGTAGTAAGGGCGTGAACCCAGAACAGGGAACTCTCTTTGCCTTGCCCCCTTGGACTTTAAGGATGTTTACTTCTCTTGGATGTGGTGTCCTGCATACTACTTGGCAACTTGCTGTTGCTGTCATGGACTCAGGCATGCGTCTGGCCTTCTGCTCTCATGCTGCTATCTTTGAACCCTTCCTCTTGGTGACCTTCCGCATGGCTCGGGACCTTGCTCTGATTCCCGCATGTACTGGGGGACCCTGTGGGGCCCTTGTGTCAGCACAGAACCACATTCCTGTTGGTTCACACACAGAGTGGTCTCTGCTGCTGTCTGCGTCTGTCCTCTTGTCACGGCAGCGACCCCATGGGCCTCGTTTGCCCAGTCTCTGCAGTCACGCAGCCCACAGTAGAGGACAGAAAGAGGGCAGTTGCTGGGGGCCTGCTGCTTTTAGTATGAAGATATCAGCCATTCCTGTTTCTCTGTAGTTAATACGGGGGGTGGGTAAATCCAGCTATAAGAAGATAAGTACTGTCAGGACTCAAAATCCTATTCATCACTACATTTTACAAATGCGTTCTAGAAGTCTGGGGTCAGGGCTCGCGCACGCTCGGCCTCTGGTGAGGGCTTCGTGGCCAGTGGCACCATGGTGGGAGTCCTTTAGCGGCGATGGTAAAGCAATACAGGAAAGTAGAGAGCAGGAGGGGCCAGGCCCATCGCAGGAACTCACTGGCGTCCCACAGGAGCTACAGCCCTTCTGTCCTGGCACAGTGCCCTCGTCAGCCTCACCAACGCCCAGCAAGGCCTCACCTCTAGCTGCCCCTCCACCTCAACACCACCACTTCGAGGAAGAGGCCTCCGACCTGTGAGCCCTTGAGGACAGCCCAGACACAAATCGGGTGCCTCGTGTCTTCCTGAACTTTCCAACAGGCCGACTCCTTAGAGTCTCCAGCAGGTTGTGGCGGGCAGAAGTAACCCTCCAGGGGCTGGGTCACGGGGGATGCCGTTGAGGCTGGTTTCTGGGAAAACCCGGCCGCATCCAAGAAATAGTGGGGAGTGGTGGTGATGACAGGAGGCCTGAGCGCGGCCCCCAAGCTTTGTTAGAGACTGGTCCGGAAGTGCCACAGCCTCTGCCCTCCTGCTGTGAAGGCTGCCTGGATAGTGGCAGCTTGCTTGTTTAGGCACAGGGGGCCAGCAGTGAGAGGAGTGGGCAGAATGTGGGGACAGGCAGTGTCACCTCATGCAACATGCAGAACTTGGAGGTGTCAGAGCTGGATTTGACCGCAGCTTTGACTTATTTCCTAAGAGTCTGCGATAAGTTGTTCTAGGTATCTGTTATCAACTAAAAAATGGGGACAGGTGTAGGAATCTCTTGTCGGCACATCCATCTGTCACGAACAGCCAGTGTTTATACTCAGGCGCCTGAGGTTGGGAGGGACGAGGACGCTTTTCTTTTCACTTTGTGTTTTCCCTGGTTTTAAAATTTTGCAATGAGCGCAGATTGCCCCCACGGTCAGAAGTTGCAGCCCCAATCTCAGTTGTGGAGGCAGCCGCGGCGCTGGGGGTCTGCTGCTCGGGAAGCGGAGCCCGCTGAGTGCCAGCCCTGCCCATGCACCCTGCCGGAGCCCGTGTGTGACCGTGCTTCTCTTTGGCGGTCAGCCCTCAGACCCTGGTCTCTCAGTCAAAATTCTTTCTCCTTTTCAGGTACAAGCTCACTGGTCATGACGTTAGCAGCGTTTTGTGTCTTTGCTGCCAAACTGTCCTTGCTGTGTTCCTCCTGTGTGACTGTCAGGCTGCTTGTGCTTCTCTGCCCTGGGCTGTGGGGACGCCGTCTGTTGGATGGCGAGGGCAGGCCCCAGCCTCCGAGCCCATGCACAGCGCGGGTTTCAGGTCCCAACCAGAGCTCCACTGTTGATACCCCGTGCTGGCCGCCTGTTTGTCATCCCAAGAAAATAAATCAAACCAATCCA